TTGAAATTGCTCCTCCGCCAGTACGCTGTTGGCAGAGAGAGACTTGCGAAGTACCTATACCCTCTCGCTTTTCTTTTACGGTGTGATGTGAGAAAACTTGCACGAGTAAACAAGTGGAGAGGAAAATAATTATTCCATGTATGAAGTGACGGCTGGGCAAAATACTCCTCAAATTGGCCTTTCACATATTTAAAGGAGGGTAAATGGAAGGACAGCAAAGGTATAAGTGCAACATAATTCGTGTGGTAATGGCATGTGTTTTTGTGTGCTGTAGAAATAAATGATTAAGGACAACACAAGAGTAGCTGAAGATTAAATACAACACTTGGAAAGGCACGTTTGCTTGGTTGTAAAATCCACTGGCCGTCTGAGTTAGCAGGCATCATCCAATCCAAGAGCACAAGGAAGTGGAAACAGGATCCTTCTCCAAGTCCATATTGGTTTGATTTAACCAAAACCATGTAAACGTATGTGTTTTGATTGTGTTTCAAAATCCAGTCCATTTGTAGCTACTGGATCAAACTTTTCTGCATTCTATTGAGACAATGAGCAGCAATGCATTTAGGAGGGTGAAGCATGGTCTGCGGGAGGAAAAAAACATGGGGTTGAGGAGGTCAAGTTATGACATTTATTATCATGTACAAAAATATGTGGAAAAGGATGACTGATTTAGGGGCCTCAAGGAAAAGCCATTTTTATTTTAGAAATGTATGTATTTTAGGCGAGTCATTCTTTTTGTTCACTGCAATGATGCACACAGTCCCTTTCCGCATGTGTTTCATAGTTTTGTATTGCCTTTGCTGCGTGAAGCTTAAGCATGAAACCACACAAGGAAATTAAATGACCCACATTATATTGCATGATAACATTTACCAGAAGTGTGCTTAAAAATTTTAGTTTTTTATGATATCTTTGAAATCGTCACAAAGCTCCAGCTTCTCAGCAGGGAGGACCAATGCAGACAGAATGGTCTTAAAATATACAGAAGCAAAAAACTTTCAGTTTGGAGGAACTGAACTTAGAAATGTATTTTCAGGATCAATACACAGTCCCTCTGATAGTGATAATGTATGATAGCAATTGTAGTAATAATTACAGTTTGAGTAATGAGGGAAAGTTATGAGTTGCCTTTGAAAGCTTCTAAAAGTTTGGAGCCCAAAAGTCGTCTGAGCGATTTGAGAATAGAGCGTGTTTTTTGGAATGTACTCCGCATTCTTATACATTGTAAACATACTCATTGACTTAGTCCCATGGAAAATGTCACCAGTGAGTAGTAATCTAAGGTTTTCCCCTAACTGCGCCCCTTTTCCACTCAAATCTGTTTTCCTCCCTATTATCAAACAAGAGTTCAATGTCAAGCTTCTGTTTCCTCCATCAAAACCCTATTACCTCTAATCCAATTGCACAAAGTCAACAAAACTCTCCACAAATAATTGCCTGCATATCCTGAGTTGTTGAGTGCAACCTTTAGTTGGGGCAAAGACATAAGCAGCAGCACATGGGCTGAGGGCTGCTACTGTTGGTGACCTGATTTATGCTTCCATGTGACAGTCCGCAGCGTGTCGATCAGATGGCACTGGGATAAAACTGTCCCTGTTCTGCTACCACTACAGGGCCACAAGACATCATATGACACAGGCAGGAACAGCCTTCCGTTTGTGAGCGCCGCACACAACCAGAACGGAGAGAGAGACGTGGAGGGCACCCAAAGGTCTCCCAGGAACCAGCAAGAGCCACATGATTGTCTCTGTCACTGGTTGCGCTAAGAATGCACCTTTGTGAGGAGCAGATAAGAGAGGGAACACAAGCAGCTGCTAGTTTCAGACGTGTACAAGTATGTATTTTGTTGTTTGTTGGAAGGTCATGTCAGGTTATGTGTTATGGCCAGTGTTTGCGGAGAATACTTTGATACAGATTATGGAATACATCAGAATGAGAATTATTTTTAATGCCTTTGTAAGTAACAGGAATTCACAAACTAGAAATTTACTTTGGCTCAAAGTGTAAACAAGTTGTAAGAGAAATAATTCAATATTATATGCTTATAAAAATCTTGATAAAATGTTTTAAGTGCACACATTAGACTTTCATCAATGCTGTACTTTCACATTAATATAACTCATTTGTTTTGTAACATATTCCCTTACATCAGGTATGTCAAAGATGTGGTCAAAAATGTTCCGTTTGTTCCCAAATTGAAATTAAATAATATCTTACATTACCTTGTGTCCAGTTTCAGTTCTGTCCAAACATTTCTGAACTAAATTTATTCAGAAATCTAAAGTTGGCCGATATTATTTTGATGAATAATTTAATTATTCTGAAAGGTTTTTAATAATACAATTCAACCAAAACAAAGCTAAACGCAATTCCCCTGGAGAGAATCTTAACTACTTTGAATGAAATCAAATTGGGGTTACAGTCATTATAGAATTATCCCAGTCATAAAACCTCTTCTCAGCATGTTTAAGTCCAAGAAAATGTTTCTAAAACAATGAATCGGTTACTAAATATAACCTGAAAACTTAAACTATTGACCTTGAGAGAAAATCTAATTCCATCAACTGCATAAAGGACAAGATATAGACTAGGAGCCACATGGGTGAGATACCCACACAAATTATGATGTGACCAGCTATATTCAATTAAATGTTCTGATACAAACCGGATTGTTGATCACAGTGCAAATTACATTACATTGTTTCTCATTTTCCACTGCAAATTTAAAGTATTCTCTTGAAACCCTGCATTAAACTGTCAAAATGTAAAACCATGATCTACTCTTTTATAGAAGAGTGGTGTGACCCTGTATGTATACTGAGACTAGAGTGGTCTATGCCTGCATCTATACTGAGACTAGAGTGGTCTATGCCTGCATGTATACTGAGACCATAGTGGTCTGTGCCTGCATGTATACTGAGACCATAGTGGTCTATGCCTGCATGTATACTGAGACTATAGTGGTCTGTGCCTGCATGTATACTGAGACTATAGTGGTCTGTGCCTGCATGTATACTGAGACTAGAGTGGTCTATGCCTGCATGTATACTGAGACTATAGTGGTCTGTGCCTGCATGTATACTGAGACTAGAGTGGTCTATGCCTGCATGTATACTGAGACTAGAGTGGTCTATGCCTGCATGTATACTGAGACTAGAGTGGTCTATGCCTGCATGTATACTGAGACTATAGTGGTCTATGCCTGCATGTATACTGAGACTATAGTGGTCTGTGCCTGCATGTATACTGAGACTAGAGTGGTCTATGCCTGCATGTATACTGAGACTATAGTGGTCTATGCCTGCATGTATACTGAGACTATAGTGGTCTATGCCTGCATGTATACTGAGACTATAGTGGTCTGTGCCTGCATGTATACTGAGACTATAGTGGTCTGTGCCTGCATGTATACTGAGACTATAGTGGTCTATGCCTGCATGTATACTGAGACTATAGTGGTCTGAGTCTGCATGTATACTGAGACTAGAGTGGTCTATGCCTGCATGTATACTGAGACTAGAGTGGTCTGTGCCTGCATGTATACTGAGACTATAGTGGTCTGTGCCTGCATGTATACTGAGACTAGAGTGGTCTGTGCCTGCATGTATACTGAGACTAGAGTGGTCTATGCCTGCATGTATACTGAGACTAGAGTGGTCTATGCCTGCATGTATACTGAGACTATAGTGGTCTATGCCTGCATGTATACTGAGACTATAGTGGTCTATGCCTGCATGTATACTGAGACTATAGTGGTCTATGCCTGCATGTATACTGAGACTAGAGTGGTCTATGCCTGCATGTATACTGAGACTAGAGTGGTCTATGCCTGCATGTATACTGAGACTAGAGTGGTCTATGCCTGCATGTATACTGAGACTATAGTGGTCTATGCCTGCATGTATACTGAGACTATAGTGGTCTATGCCTGCATGTATACTGAGACTATAGTGGTCTGAGTCTGCATGTATACTGAGACAAGATTGGTCTGACTGGTTTGGGATCGGTGATGTCACTGGAGCACATGCAGACTTGTGTACGCCACACTCCATGAATCTCCTTTTCACATGCGCCTCTGACCCCCACGGCACCCATGAGACTAGACTACTGTTGGTCCAATGAGGCGGGTGCTTGGATGACTTCAAGACAATCGGATTTCTGTCTATTGGAATATCAGTAAACATTTTGTTGTCATAAAATGTTAGGAAAGTGGGAATGTTATGATACTGCATTTACTGTATGTCCTATTGTAAGATTTTAGTAATTCTACCTATTTTATTTTAGAAAGGTTTTGGATAAGTGGACAAGTTAGAATATTATATTGGCAGTTATGTATGGCATGCCACAAAGGGCTACTGTCATATTTGTCACATTTCTTGTAAAAATAGAGCCCCGTGACTCTTTAGCTTAGCGGCAATTCTCATTTTATCTTTTTTCTGTATGAAAAAGACAATCTAAAGAGGAAAAAAATACATGCATGCATCTCTAGATTAATTTTTTTGGCAGGAGACTGGGAACACCAGGTGTCACAGTGGAACAGTTGCTGTAAAACTGTCTTAGTATCTTTTGGCAAGACACTACACCCACATTGCGTAGTGTGAGTCTAGTGGTCATAGGGGCCAATGGCACAAACTTATTGCTTCACTTCTGTCAGTTTTCCCACAGGCAGCTGTGGCGACAAACATCATTATCACGCATCGAGTGAAAGAATAAGGCTGTGTGAAGCGTCTTAGAGAGTTCCATAAAGAGTTATATAAAGTCAATGCATTATTATATATCTTCTTTTTATTCTAACACTGGCTTTATTGGGATAAAACTAAAATTATTCAAATTCATAACAGGCACCATTCCTCCAGAATGATAAAAAATTAGAAAACACATGAAATAAAAAAGCAAACAAACCTATAATATGCATATTAAACACTCAATTGAATACAGAGGACTTTTTTCCAGACTCCTTTAAGTCTCTGGTTCAGACTCGGCATTGATCGCTCACGTCTATGGACTGGGCGCTACAGTGCACGGCGGGTCAGCGGCGAGGTCAATCGTGTGGGAACGGCACAAAACCTAAACGAGGATCTCCGGGCCCACACTTGGATAATTCTCTTCTAATCACCCTCCATCTCCCACCTACCCGCAGAGCTCCCAGGGGGCCTCCACTCTCCTCTCCGCTCCTCACCTCATCAGACAGGCCTCCACCCCGGCCCGCCAAGCCCCCTCGCCCACTGACCCATACCACCTACCCCCCTTCCCTACACCCACCTCAGCCCTCCCAGTCACCGCGGGCTCTATACCTGCCAGGCTCTCTGACAGCCTCACAGTCCCTCCCGGCTCACCCCCCCATGAGAGGAGACCGCCTGCCCATCCGGAACGCTGCCGTGGCAGGACCCCTCTCCCCCCCTGGGCCCTTCTCCGACCTAAAGCCAGCACAGTGTCGGCAGTTTGACAAAGTCTTCAACTTCTTTGTCTCTCATTACAGGCCCATCTCCCGTGACCTGAGTAATATACTTTTAACTCTCTCTTCTCTTTCATAAACTCTTTGACACTTCTCACCGAGGCACAGATGTGGAAAAGAACAGCTGGATGAAGTGGACTTAAAGGGGCCGTATGTCGTATTATGATATTACAAAAGTTTAAAGTAGATTTAAGATTTAAGATTTTCAACCAGATTATCCAGTAAGAGAACAGAATGTTCTCATTTGGTTTACCAATATCTTATTTTTTCCTTATTAAAAAAAAACAGACCTGGAGTTGTTTTTCAATCCATCAATGCTGATATCAAGAATGGGCACAAACATGTAACACTGTCTCAGTCCTGTATTAGTATGATGTCATTGTACCACTTTGACATCAAGCTCAAAGTTTTCCTTTACCTTTTGAAAAAAGGTATTGCCCATAAATTATTATTATGCAATTATTAAGATAAAATAATATATTATAATTATTATTATATAATACTAATTGCTTTTCAATAAATAGAATACATCACACTGCCTCAAGAAAGTCAAACAGCTGCAGCTTTGGCTGGTTTTTTTGTTTTTATCAGTAATCATGTGTCACAGGCTGTGAGATTCTGTAAGACTATATTAGAGCAGTGACGTGCGGTCAGATGAGGCAGGTGAGCAGGTGAGGCCTGGCCTCACCTACGATCATGAGAAGAAAAAATAATAAAATAATAATACTTGGTCACTATATCAAGTGATTTATGTTATTGTATTATTTTCATGTAACTTTGCCTTATTTCATTAATTTTTATCTTGAAATTGCATATTATCGTCATATTTTCTCATAAGTGACAGAGCGGTGCGCTGTGAGGCGAGCCGCACTTGGGAGACGTAAATGCCTGTAGTTCATAGAGGAAGGAGCCGTGCGCTGCTATCGAACTGTTTTCTCTGTTTATTGCAATTTACAAAGTTCTACATATTTTCTTTACAATCAACATGTCTACAGTTGAGAGGATGGGTCATAAATTCTGTTTTTGACAACTAATTGCTTGCTTGCAATTGACGTCACGTCCGCCTCATTACATATGCGTATCACGAAGTGGTGGTCAGCCGAGCTACTTGTTCACTAGAGCAGCGTGTCTGAATCTGCCTTTTCCGTGTGTTGTTTTAAGTTTTCTAACCGATCGAATCGCAAAACCTTTAATGGATACTTTAGGATTCCTCGTGAAGAGATTAACAAAGAGCCTCGCACTAAGGACTTTACGAAAAGACGCAGGAAAAGTGGCTCGCTAACATTTCACTTTTACATTACACTCAACCCTTTTACCTCTAAGGATTATGTATTTACCCAGCCATGGAGTCACAATGTGCCGTTATTACATCCCCATCTTTATTTCATTCATCGTCAGGTATGAGTTGTAGTTTTAAATAATCACTGTGAATGTTTGACCTGAAAAGAACACAGCACAGACGCATTGTCTTGTTGAGAATGACAAGTTCATACCAATCGTTACTTACACGGCTCTATACGATGCAGTATTTGTCCTTCAGGACCTTAACTCCGAGCTCCTTAATCCACAGACAGACGGAAAAGTTACAGTATCTGTGTTTATCCAAACCTTCATTTGTGCAAAAGCTTGATTGTAACACTAACTGTGGATTAGAATCTAAAGTGAAGAAAATGACAGTCTAGGATCGTGTCTTTAATTCAGACAGAAGACATGTTTTATTGTCGATGGTAGAGGCAGCATAAACAAAGACGTTACAGAATGTAAGTGACATACAGCGGAGGAATGGAGACTTATTAGCATTATTAGCATGTTAGCATTTGTCGCGGTGCCAGTAGCTTCAACCTTGATATTACCAAAACATGTCGTGGAAAAATTCTGCCTTGTGCATATTGTTAGAATGATGAGCTAGAACGTTCACCACAGTAGCTTCAAAGTGTCATGAAATATCCAAAAAAGCAAAAAAATACTCGGGAGAGTAGCATTTTCTTCATATATCAGCAGCAACTCTTGTTGGCCTGACCACCACTTCGTCAACCGGAAGTTTATGCGTCACGTGATTGCAAGCAAGCAATATGGGTCTTAATTGCACTCAAACAACGGCTTGTAATGTCACCCAATGAGGCCAGCCTCAGGGTAGGGGGCGCATGTGAGCCCAGAATTCGGCTGCATCCAGTTTCATCAGAAAGCCCCTTTCTTGTTCTTACTCTAAAGGCAGCTACAGGTTTGGCTAAAATACATGTACAGTAACACATTGTAAGATTATTTAAAATTTACTTAGGGTAATTTTATGCTTCCAATGATGATAGGAATGATAAGGAAGAGAGGTGAAGGGTAAGAAGGTTGGTTTTACAAATTGGATGCACCCGAGAGTCGGCTGCTGCAGCGAAACACGAGAGGAGTTTATGGAGGAGACACCCGTTTTGTTTTACTTTTTAAAACTCATTGGACTTATTTCTAAATGGAGGATTACATATCTACGCTCAGACTATTATCTGGACTTAAACATGAAACCGGTCTGAACTGAAGTGGTCTGTGCAGGTCATGTTTACAGTGAGGTAAGGCCCATAACACACTGTTAAATGTGCTTTTTACAAACTTTTGTGTTTTGTATGAGCAAACAATGCGGGCAGGAAACATATTCTTCTGTAGCCAAACATATTGTGAATAAGCCGCTCTATAGGTCCTGTTGATTTATATGATATATATGTTCATCTAATTGGGGTGAAGTCAGTGCCTCACCAATCACCAACCTCACTGCACGTCACTGATATTAGACCAGTATGAGCGCAAACTATATATCCATCCCTTTAAATGTAACTCACTGTGGTACAAATGAATAACAATAGTCATTTTCTATCTAGTGCAGTGGTCTGAAGAGCTGGAATTAAAGCAGAGGTACCTTACTTTTATTCTTCATGAATCTAATTCAATTTCAGCAGTCTCAATTGTTTTTTGTATAGCCCTAAATTACAACAGTAGTTATCTCAGAGGACTTTTAAAAAAGAACAATTGAATTCGCCAACACAGATCAGAGAATCAAACAGTTCAAACACAAGTAATGCAGTGGGGGGGAAAAAACATAGAGCCATTGGTCCATAAGAATGTTTTCTATTGAGACGTTTTCATCTTTTGCACACTTGTCACACTCCAAAATAGCCCCATGAGGCTTTAATTGACGCTTTGGGCCGAGGGTTGATTGGCTGACTCTTTTTTTACTTTTCTGTCTGACAGAGTTGGTCTAAAGGTGTGACAGCGGCCAAAACTACATGCATGTGAAAACTAGGGATAGAGCCACACTGTTTTGAGTGTTGACAGTTAGGTACCCTAGCGTTAAACATTCCACCATGGTTTGGACAAATGAGAGACTACATTACAACCAAAACAATTTCCCACTATGCACCTAGACTAGACTAAAGTTCCAGCCTCTGTGCATCTGCTCAGTGGTGCATTTGTGAAATAGTGGGAATCTTCTCCGCCTGAGTAAGAGGGAAGTCTGCAACTGCTTCTAATAGAAGAAATAACTCAATGATCTCACTGTAGTCGAGACACTGTCCAAAAAGCTGCGTACCATCTGAATCCCCCTCGGAAAGCAAATGGGCGATCTTCGAAGAGGAAACATGTGGGTTGTGTTAGACAGGAAAGTATTTATTGTGCATACATGACAAGGAACAAAACCGCCAACAACACAACAGACACACAAACACTGATTTGACCCAGGCAAATGAGGAGAGGGCCGCTAAAGACCTGTCACAATGCTTTGGGTTTGTTTGAGACCTGGCCCTGCTTTCGCTGCCCCACAATTCTCAGATGTGTGCCACTGGAGTGACCTCACAAATGATTACGGATTAGTTTCAAAGCAATCTTTTTAACAATTAGTTCCAACATAAAGAGTCCTGTAAACAATTGAAAAAGTCATCATTATAATAGACTGTATATAGATGGACTATGCTAAACCCCTAACTCAATGAAGCACACTAGGGAATTCCCAAAGATATTTAGCACTAAGAGTTGCTCCTAGTGGCCAAATTCTAAGAATTTTCTAGAATCTTGAAGTACTCTTAGAATCTCCATGGTAAAAGTTGAAAGAGAAAAAATGACCAGCATTGCAATTAAAATAAGCAAATAAATATAACTATCACTGTGTTAATACTGTGCAAGTGGGCCTAAGTTTTCACACATTCTGTATGACGATTTAAAAGTATAACTTACTATTCAAAGTATTCATTTTGCATTGACATATCTATGTATCTATCCATCTTTTATGCTGAAAATCATTTGCAATGACAGTCTTCTTAAGATTAGATTACATGATTAAGTCTGTCTATTTGAGGGTCCTTTTTTTGCCCATTATCACCAAAAGTATGTTTTCTCAAACTTTTAGGATCAACCAATCACAGCGTCTGAAATGATGACTCAACAGAGTCGGCCACGCCTCCTTGTTAAGATAGGAGTTTTTGTCAATTCCTTGCTCAGAGTTCTTTGAGAATGTTCTGGAATCACTTTTATGCAAGACTCCAGGCTAGGAGTGAAGAGGTTAAGAGGTTCCAAGGTTAAGTTAGGAGCTCTGAGAGGACTCTCAGAATCTTTAGTCATACTGGTGTTTATGTTTTGATATTGACATTGTAAATCCAGATATCAGTCAATCAGATGCCTTCATTTTCCTTAGTAACCGCCTTTATAACATCACTGCCCCTATTACAGCGCTGAGCTAACTCTGCGAAAGAAATGCTCATATAAGTTAATTGCACGTGGATGGTGTGACCATAGAATGATAGAACCGAGAAGCGCAGAGGACGAGACTTTCTTTTGGATGGCTGTTTCGCTGTGTGAGCAGTAACCGGTAACGAAGACATGGGAAGCTTCAGGTTAGCCTCCGCTGCTTGTTTACCTCAGCAGTCTGTGCTAAAGTGGGGGCCAGTGGTCCGCTGTGATTGGTCACAATCTGGTCCCGAAACAAATTCTCTTCCTTGTTGCACGAAAACCCGATCTAAAATAAAATGACACGCCAGCACAAACTTGCACTACTTATTCTTCAAAAGGACGTATATTCCAATGCACTGCATGGATGGATTGAATTTT